CGTATATAGCACATATAATTAAAATTAGTTTTTATATAACGTTAACATATTATTAATTCTTATTGTTGTACAAACATATTTTACGTACACATACATTTATTAATATTATAATGTATTAATTATATATTTAATATATGATATGAACTGTAATATAATATAATACACGTATATATATATAATATTACTATTTTATATACATACACATACATACATATATAATTTAAATAATAAAGAATTTAATAGTTTATATATATATATATATATAACTATAAATGTTTATAATAATTAAATAATAGAAAATTAAACAATAATTCAATATGTGTGTGTTATACTATATCGAATAGTAAAATTTATTATAATATTATATGGGTACTTCCCTTATAGAAATTTATCACTAGTAACGCCAATTTATCACTTATTTCGAGTACTTAATCATTTATTTTGAGTACTTAAATTACTGTATATCAGTATTTTAAGTACTCGAAATAAGTGATTAATTGGCGTAACTATAGTGATAAATTTCTGTAAAGGTTTCTTGTGACTACACAAGTAATAATATATATATTTCAACTACTTTAAACAAGATTGCAAAAGAAAACTTGATGCATGCAGTCATAAAGTTTTGTAAATACGGAGGCATTGAATAGTAAAACATCTAAATAAACAATAATTAAAGCAGTAAAATAAATAGTATATACAATATGAAAAATTATTTCCATGAAGTATGTTCACGTATGCAAAGCTGTAATTTTTGTCTTCTGATTTGATTCCTGCGAATTGATGTTTTGTTTACAATATTGACATAATTCTGTATTATGGAATCCTATAATATATATAAACAAAAATTTGCACAATAAAATCAATATACTGTATATAATAACCAAAAAAATACAAAATTAATATTCAAAAATTAATAAGAGAGAGATAGAACAATATTTCTTTTAATATAAAAAAACTATTAATCTCGGCTCGAATTATTGTGTTACAATAAAAATAAAATCTCGACGGCAATCGGAGCCTATGCGGATGACATGCACAAAATTAATAAATTAAAATGAGATCTCAAGTCAAACTCATTTATTAAATTCTAAACGTTTCGACCCACTTCGGGTCTTCTTCAGTAGCTGCAAAATACAAAGAAACAAAAATAGAAGATAATCGGTACAATCAGAAAATTATAAAACTCGTATACATACAATCCGCAAATAAATTAAATATCATTCTCCTCCCTATTCAAACCGTCCGGCCGTCGGAGTGTCTCCCTAACGGTGACCATCGTCAGGAAGGAAGCGGAGCAGTGACTTCCTTACCAACACTAATCAACATGGTATAAATTAAACGTAGAACAATTCACAAGAATTAAAAATTAAGAACCGGGAAGAACACTCACCCCGACAGCAAAAACAGAGAGAAGACGATGCTACACGTGACACATCACTCTAACGACTGTGCGGTATTCTACCTCGACACAGTCGATACATATATACGCAAAAAACAAATATAAAAATAAAATATGAAAATAAAAATAAAAATAAAAACAACTAAACTAATCGGCACTCATGTCAAAAGTCTAACAAAAAAACCCGGCTATGTAAAATCACAAAGCTAGATTTTGGTAAATTTTTCTATTAACAGATCAAGATTCTCGTTTAATTTATCAGTGTCGCTATGTAAATTTAAACTATTCCTCTGACGTTTTATGTGGATCATTTCGGATATCAAACGTTTACCTAAAAAAGGCTCCTCGTCTAAGACTTTTACATCCTCCCAATTAAATTCATGGTTCAATAATCTATGTTCCGATATGACTGATAATTGTGACGCGTTTCTTTTTATGTTGTTGCGATGTTCTTTCATCCTAGTTTTCAACAATCTACCCGTCTGCCCTACGTACGACGCATCACAATCCATACAATCAATTTTATAAACTACATTATTATGGAGTTCTCTTGGTAACTTATCCTTGTGTACTTTAATGAATTTACGGAGACTGTTAATTGCTGTATATGATGGAATGACATCCAAATCACGTGTAATGTCCTCGATTCTCTTCGATACATTATTAATATACGGAATATTAAAGTACGAAACTTTTTTCTGCGTTAGAATCTTGTCATTGCATACATTTGCTCTATTGTTATGCAACTTATTATTATAGCGGAAGAACAACTTTTTTAACCGCGCTTGTAATGTATGAAATATCAAATTGAGAGGATAATTATTAGACAAAAGAACTCCAATCATAGACTCAAAGTTAACTTTATGGAATTTCGGATGAGATAGCCAAAAAACTCTATCTATGAGGCTGATAATGGTGCCTTTTTTATGACAGAGAGGATGCTGCGATATTTCTTTTTCTTTCGCTTTCCATAATAATATTTGTTAAATTTACCTTTTCTTTCATTCCAACATATAAGCTTTCAGTGGTCATCAAATATGTATAACGTATACGTTCATATACTAAAATGTATTATTTTTGCCATTATTAATAGACAACGTTATTATTATATTATCAAAATTATTTAAACATTAAATATTTAGAAATAAATATTTTTATCGGCTCTCAATATAAAGAATATAAGGTCATCTACATCTGTGGAAAAAAACCGGTTTATAGTTAAGTGAATGTAGAGCTTTGGATTCCAAATCTTGTAACACTATATCAGCAACTATAGGAGAAAGAGGGGAACCCATCGGAGTTCCATAAGTTTGTTTGTATATAGCATCGTTAAAAGTAAAAAATGTAGAGTTTAATATTAGACTAATGCCATTTAAAAATTCCGATTTACTAAGACTGCAATTATCAGTAATGAATTGCCATCTCTCCGATAAATCTTCCAATACTAAGTCTACCGGTATATTAGTAAAGAGTGACACAACATCTAATGAAATCAAACTCGAATTATTTTCTAACTGTAATGTAGAAAATTTTTGCACTAATTTAAAGCTGTTTTCTGTATAACTACCAGTTTTTGGATACTTTTTATTAATATCTTGTGTAAAAAAACTGCTAAATTATAAAGTGATGTATCAATAGACGAGACGATAACTCTATAGGGACAATTAATTTCATGCACTTTTGGTAATCCATAAGCTCTAGGAAGATTACCATCACTACACGATAAATACCTGTAAGTATTAATTGATATTAAACCTTTCTTTTTCCATCTCACTAAAAGATCATGAAGATTGGAAATTATACTATTTGTAGGGTCGTTTTTTACCAAAATGTAAGTATCTCTATCTTTAAAAATGTTTTCAACCTCCTCTAAATATTTGTCTTTATCTAACGCCACCGTAATATTTCCCTTGTCAGCCTTTGTGATAATAAAATTCAGGTTTTTCATCCAAAAATTTTTTAGTGTTTACACTCAACTCTAATAAGATTTTATTAAAACCGTTATCTGGATATCAGTATTGATTAATTGCATTCACCACAATCTTAGATTTTTTTCTAACAAAAACTCTTTTATCAGGAGGCAGTTTTTTTAGATTATTTTCAAATTATTTTATGAAATATATGGTTAATTGTACCCTACTATTATTCGGGAGACTAAAGTTTTCACCTACTTGAAGCATACTAATTATATTGTCTGGTATCTTAGTATTAGATAAATTAATAAACCAATTATTATTATTTTTAAAAAGATTCGGATTAGAATCTGAAAAAGAATTAGGATCGACATTTACTTCAAATTCTTCTCCTTTATCATTTAACTCTTGTTGTTTATTGATAATTTTATGTTTTTTTAACTAAGATGTATAATTTAATTTTTGTAGCCTGAAGAGGACCCAATTCGGGGTCGAAACGTTGTGTCTTTTTTAATAAAAGATTTTTTACCTTAGCCAGTGTCGGTCAATCAATTCTTTTTTATATTTATTTCAAAATTTCAACTGGCAATCGGATCACTTTTTTGTTAATGTTTTATATAGATAACTTTGTGAAATTAAAATGTGGATTTACATAAGAAAGAATGGGAAAAAGGGAAAGGGGAACGAGACAGAGGGAGTCAGAGAGGGGGGAGAGGGAGAGAGGGCGGGAGGAAGAAAGGGGAGAGAAGAGAGAGAGAGAGAGGGGGGGGAGTGGAGAGAGAAAAGGAGAGAGGGAAAGAGAGAAATTGTGTCATGTGATTTATTGTAAACTGATAAATAAAAATCAATCTTATATAATAACATATTAAATGTAAAAAATTTTTATTTTTTGAATATGTATGGCACATATAATTAAAGTTAATTTTTATATAACGTTAACATATTATTAATTCTTATTGTTATACAAACATTATGTTTTCTATATATATACGTACATTAATATTATAATATATTAATTTATAATATTATAATACATTTAATATATAATATGAGTTGTATATATATATATATAATACACGTAATATATAATATATAGTATTACTATAATATACACACACACACACACACACACACACACACATGCATACGCATATATACATGTACAATTTAAATAATAAAGAATTTGATAGTACGTATAAATATAAATATGTTGGCTATAAATGTTTATAATAAGTAAATAATAATTCAATATATGTGTGTCTATGTTGCGCGTACGTGCGCGCGTTCGTGCCTACGTGCGTGCATGCTTGTGTGTGCGTGCGCGCGTAAACATATAATTTTATTTATTAACGGAAAAAAATTAAAAACAAATCAATATATAATACAAAATAAATAGATAGTACATTTAGGTGCATTCATCATTTTACAATCATATTTATATATTTATATTTACACATTTTTATATTATTATTTTTATATTTTTATATTATATTCAACAGTAAAATTTATTATAATATTATATAGCTGTATAGTATTATTGATGCATGCAGTCATAAAGTTTGTAAATACAGAAGCATTTAATAGTAATACATTTAAATAAACAATAATTAAAGCAGTAAAAAAATAATGCATACAATATAAAAAATTGTTCATATAATGGTATGTCCGTATGCAAAGCTGCAATTTTTTTACATCCACCAATTAGAAGAAAAAATTTTCAAAATACTGTTTCTCTCTTTTGATTTGTTTCTTGCGAATTAATACTTTGCTCTTAATTTTGTCCAAATTCTCTATTATGGAATCCTAATATATTTAAACAAAGATTTATACAATAAAATCAATATACCGTTTATATAATAAACAAAACAAATATAAAATTAATATTCAGAAATTGATAAAATAGAACAATATTTCTTTTTTTTTCGCTTTCCATAATAATATTTATTAAATTTACCACCTTTAATTGATGTTTTTTCAGTAAATCTTCTGTGTTATTTATTTTATGAAACGTGCCTGCAAATGTCGTGTACCATGTTTCGACGTATTCCTTTATTAGCTAAAATGTATTATTTTTTGAACATTATTAATAAATAACGTTGTTATAACATTATGAAAATTATTATAAACATTATATAATAATTATTAATAACGCATTATTATCACGTTTTGTATACATATATAAACATGTAAAATTTTTACCTCAGTTTGATCTACAAAATATACGTTGTTAATAATAATAATAAATACTGCAGGTTTCATATCACTACTAAAAGCGATAAAACAGATGTATAATAATACACATAATAAACTTTTGTACACAATATTTATAAAAATATGCCACATTACCTTGGTTTTATTTTTTGAAAATTGTTTAATATGTACTGCAGTGTAATTTGATTCTTCGCATGCTTCGTAATAATATTAATATAAAACAAACTGTTAAAAAGATATTGATAGTCCTTCCTATAATTGTACTGGTAATAGTATATTAGATTGTTTAAATAATTATTGATGACATCAGTATCTTCAGAGCAAGCCAAGTATTCTAAAAATTTAGTGTCAGATTTATTCAATCCTACATCATACACTGATTGCCAAATGATTTTTTCGTTGATTATCATGAAACCGTTACAATATGTCCATTCCTTCCACCATGGCAAAAGTCTAAAATATAAAAAAAATTAATTTTCTTATTAAAATTTAGCATATGGACCTCTTGATCAAATTATTTAAATATTATAGGCGATACCTACAAGAATGATTAAGAAAGACTAAAGATATATAACAATATTTACTTGTGCTTTATAGAATTTTGTAGATGTTGTACTAATTTATTGTTGGCTTCTGTCTTACATTCGAAGTCGCCGAAAAAACATGCTCATCTTGCAGCTTCTTGTCGTAAACATTTTCTAAGGTCGTCACTATCATCAATTTCTTCATATTTGATTCTTTTAAGTACCTCGTTTAATGCATGGTGTATGTAATTCTAAAAATCGTTAAATATATATTTCTTTATTCATATTATAAATGTATTTAAAAATTATTAAAATCTCAAAAGATTAAAATAAAGGCGCTAATAAAATTAAAAATGATTTATTAATGTTTGATCAAACTGGTCAATACAAATCGTATTACGCATAACGTTTTGGCACTTAGGTACGAGCCTTTATTAAGTGGTGCTTTCAAGATGTTAAAGTGAAAGACATGATATTGAGTAATATACTTGATAAGGGCTCGTATCCAAAGGTCGAAACGTTGTGTGTAATACGATTTGTATTGACCAGTCAGATCGAACTTTAATAAATTATTTATAAAAATTATTATATTTTTCTATTATTTACCAATATATTCTTAAAATATTCTCTTTCTTTAAGACAAACATACATACAAATTTACTTATAGACGCGAGCGTTTATTTATGCACGTACATACGTTCAAATATACATACATATATGAAAAATATGCTTTAATTTATGCGAAATATTTATAATATTTCAAAGATATAATTAAAGCACATTTGTTTGCGACGTATAATATTATGTAAAATTTTATCGTTGCGGTATTTTTTTAAATATTAAAATTTTTTGTAATTAATAAATGTATATGCAAATATCTGAAATATAATACTTCTATTAATATTTATTAAAATTTACCTTAAAAGTCCACATTTTAACTTGCATCATGGCTACAGAAAAAGTGCTAAATATGTATTCCAGAGCTTTAAACATAGGATACCATGCTATATAATCTTCTTCTCGATGCAAATACGATATTACATCTATGAATATAATGAATTTGAGTTCTCCTGCTATCGTTAAATGAAATGCATCATCGACAATTTGAGCACGATTAAGAACATGAATTTTCGTGTAATTATCTGATTTCAAATAACTTGAAATTCTTCGCCAATTCTCATCATCATAGTTCACGCGATAATATCCTGTCGAATAGTATATAAATCTTATAAATATTCATTATTTTAAATAATTTTATTATTATAATATATTTATTTTCAAACATTTTAGTTTTTTACTTTTGTTTATATAAATTATAAATTTAAAAAATCAGAAAAATTTAATACATATAAATAAAATGCAAATACATATAGAAAATTAATTAAAATAATAAATAAAGCTGTGCAAGATAGTGTTATATAGAATAAAATAAAATTGACTCTAGCTCTACATAAATTATGTAATAATTATTTTATATTAATTAGTAAAATTTCTGCATGTAACTTTACGAATATTCTATGTTTTACTTGTATATATTATTATACTTATTTTATAAATATAATTAACTTTTAATCATTTTTATTTTTATAGATTAAAATATTTGTAAAACTATAACTTTAATATTGATTGATATTATAATAGAAAACGCAGATGTATATCTTAATTATACATATATAATAATGCAGAAAATTACACAAAATATTTTAAAACTATTATAGTTCTACAATGAACATCTCAGATTTTTATGCGACAATGAATAAAATAGATAAAAATATGAAATAATAATAATTATGTATGTATAAAATATACTCGAGTTATACGTCATAATCAATTAGTCGATATTTACCAATTTGTTGTATATTGAAAATCATCCAACCATCCTCTTTAAATGTTGATAAAATTAAATGTCCTTTGCATAATGAAATATGTAAGAAATTGCTAAAATTGGAATCCGTCTGAGTAGTAAAAGTTATCGGTAAGCAAGGAATTTCTAATGTATCGATATTTTGTATTGATATATTTGTTTGGCTAAAAGAATGCTCATAACTTCGTATTATTTTTATGAGAGGACAATGTTTTTCCACAGCCCAATAATTCATTGTTGTTAAAGCAATATCTGAATTATCTGTAGCAGCAATTATTTCTTTCAAACAATCCTCAAAACTTGTACGATGTAATTGGCTAAATTCACAAAGTATGTAAAATATATAAGAAAACATTACAAATATGTTAAAATTGTATGTATATAATGTTAATATTATAAAAAAATTTTAATAAACTCTAAGAGCAAAATATAAAATTGCAATTCTATTCATATATTGTATATCTACCATATTTATATATCTTACATTTATATTATTAATAAATTAATGATAATATATATTGACAATAAATAATATAACATTATTTTAAATTAAATTTAATAATTTTATTCAATTTTTTAAGTATTAGTAAGCTTTAATACAGATTACATTTGAGCAAAGTATTCAAAGAATTATTAGAATTAAAAAATGATTAAAAAAAGAAATAACGAAACCAATAAAGAAGATAAAGACAAAACAAAGGATAAGAAAATTAATATAAAGGAAATAGATCTATGAGAGAAGTAAAATAAATATATAAAAGTAGTAATAAAAAAGAGTGAAATTAAAAATATATCTAGTAGAAGATCTAGGAAAATAGCAGAATTGTTACACTAAAAAAACATTAGGAAATAATGTCAGTACAAGCCAAAAAATAACGGACATTTTATAAAATCGCGCTACTTCTATTATTAAACATTATTTAAGTTACACAATTTTATTTGTTTGATATTATATTTTATCAATCAAAATTAATATTGAACGCTAGTGGTGAAAATAAACTTGGCAAAATTGATTTCGACGTAACTAGCAATTTTATTCAATACTTTCACGACGTTTCGACCATTTGGTTGTGGTCCTTATCAAGTGAGAATTCTATAACACAATATTACATAATAGTTTTTAACAATGTTGAAACATACAAGAACATATTTAAATGTTAAGTTATGACCACAAACACAAACATACCCATCAATTAAAATGAGATTAACGCAACATAAAACCGATCTTATGTAAAATTAATAGTTAAAAAGGAACACGTCCCATCGCTATAATATTTCGTCAACAACTAAATTTGAAACGCACTACTTAATAATCTTTATTATTTTGTCGTAAATATTTGTCAAAGTCTCAGTGTCTTTCTGTAACAGTATTATCATGCTACTTTATGAAGAACATTTCAGCAATCTTTCTCTTTCCTACATGGTTCTCATTATGTAAAATGGTCGGTGATTCCCAATTAAAGTCATGTCCAAAATCACATCTGTGTTTACTCAAAACCGAATGATTAGACTCATGTAATTTAATATTGCTCGCATGTTCCTTCACTTTAGTGCATAAATGTCTTTTTGTTTGTCCAATGTATGAGGCATTACAATTTTCACAATTAATCTTGTATACTACATTCGTTTTTATATCATTAGTTATTAAATCTTTACCTCGTTTTATCAGCCTATCTAACTTTTTTAGCAAACTATAAACGACATTTAAGTTAGCATTTTTAAGTGACCTTTTAATACTGTCGCTAACGTCTTTAACTATGGAAGTGAAATCACATATAGTAATTCTTATCTCGAGTCGAATTTGCATTGTCGTTATTGTCCAAATCATTATTCAAATTATCGTTATTATCCGCATTGTGACGAATAACATTTCTATTATTATTTAGTACATTAATTTTTTTATTTACATATTTATTAATAATACGATCCGGAAATCAATTATTAATTAAAATGTTCTTTACAATCTCAATATTTGTATTATGAAATTGTTCGTTTGAAAGTAAAATTGCATAGTCTACTAAATTATAAATCGTATTAATTTTATACTTAATAGGATGACTCGTATAAGTATAAAATTAATACGATTTATAATTTAGTAGACCATGCAATTTTACTTTCAAACGAACAATTTCAAATTTAGTCGTTGACGAAACATCATAGCAATGGGACGTGTTCCTCTTTTAACTATTAATTTTAAATAAGATCGGTTTTATGTTGCGTTAATCTCATTTTAATTGATGGGTATGTTTCTATTTGTGGTCATAACTCAACATTTAATATGTTCTTGTATGTTTCAACATTGTTAAAAACTATTGTGTAATATTGTGTTATAGAATTTTCACTTGATAAGGACCACAACCAAATGGTCGAAACGTCGTGAAAGTATTGAATAAAATTGCTAGTTACGTCGAAATCAATTTTGCCAAAATTATATCTTATATTGAATTACTTACGTGTTATTTATATATGAGCGAATGCTTTTCCAAAATATTTCTTTGGTGAAGGCGTGTTCCATCATGCGCATTAAAAAAGGTGCTACGATTTATTTCAAAATGATAATTTGTTATATTATATTATAAATACATATTTATTATAATGGTTACTTGTAAACAAAACAATTTTATAAAGAAAGGAAAAACTATATATATCTATATACAAGGTAGTAATTGCGTAAGAGTGAAATGTCTTTTAATGCAGTACTGATTATCATTCTATTTTTTAAGTAAATTTTTCAATAATTCTCACGAAGATAGCAAAACATTAAAGGACTATACGGTTAATCCCATCTACTTACACATGTACAGTTATTACTGGACATGTTTGTGAGTGTTTGTGTGTGTGTGCGTGTATACTTTTACAAGAATAATATTTAATTCAAATCCGGATAAAGAATATTACTTATCTTCTAACTTTAAACATATTTTAAAATATTAATAAGTAAAAATTTACGCGGACTATTTTTTTATAATACGTATACCTCTGATAGAATTGGGAATTTTCAATGAACTGTTAACTTGTGAAGTAGAAGGCCACACATGATAATCACAATCCAAATTAAAAGAGTAATGTTGATTTTGAACAACAAATAAATTTATTATTCTGTAACGAAGCACCTTTCCCGACGCCACGGATCGGCTCGTCGGTGCCAGGATTCGGGAAGAGGGGAGACTCAGATTTACAATGACACACGGTTGCTCTGGTAAAAGTAGAGTTTATTCGGGGCCACCTTCCTGTGGTTCTCCCGTGATTCAAACCATTATACACAGCACAGTATAATCGGACGAAACGCGACCAGATGATACAGACGCGTACACGACTTATTGCTAGGATTGACAGATAGAAATATTACGGACGAGACGCGACCAGATTATACGGACGCGGACACGACTTATTGCTAGGATTGACGGATAGAAATATTACGGACGAGACGCGACCAGATTATACGGACGCGGACACGACTTATTGCTAGGATTGACGGATAGAAATATTACGGACGAGACGCGACCAGATTATACGGACGCGGACACGACTTATTGCTAGAGTTTCCAACGCGGACACGCGTACGGGCGCCCTGAGAAGGGCGAGCTCCGTCGGGCGCCGGTGACTTTCAGGTAGGACCCGGTGACCGAGGACGCTCGGCCTGCACGACGAGAACGCTCGTCGGCCGGGGTGATTTACGGACAGGACCCGGTGACCGAGGACGCTCGGCCTGCACGACGAGAACGCTCGTCGGCCGGGGTGATTTACGGACAGGACCCGGTGACCGAGGACGCTCGGCCTGCACGACGAGAACGCTCGTCGGCCGGGGTGATTTACGGACAGGACCCGGTGACCGAGAACGCTCGGCCTGCACGACGAGAACGCTCGTCGGCCGGGGTGATTTACGGACAGGACCCGGTGACCGAGAACGCTCGGCCTGCACGACGAGAACGCTCGTCGGCCGGGGTGATTTACGGACAGGACCCGGTGACCGAGAACGCTCGGCCTGCACGACGAGAACGCTCGTCGGCCGGGGTGAGTTACGGACAGGACCCGGTGACCGAGAACGCTCGGCCTGCACGACGAGAACGCTCGTCGGCCGGGGTGATTTACGGACAGGACCCGGTGACCGAGAACGCTCGGCCTGCACGACGAGAACGCTCGTCGGCCGGGGTGAGTTACGGACAGGACCCGGTGACCGAGAACGCTCGGCCTGCACGACGAGAACGCTCGTCGGCCGGGGTGATTTACGGACAGGACCCGGTGACCGAGGACGCTCGGCCTGCACGACGAGAACGCTCGTCGGCCGGGGTGAGTTACGGACAGGACCCGGTGACCGAGAACGCTCGGCCTGCACGACGAGAACGCTCGTCGGCCGGGGTGATTTGGAGTGTGGGAGTTGAGGAGTGATCCCTGAGTACGCTCGAGGGACCAGGACGGGACTGGTGTCGAAGTCTCGGCTGCGCCGCTCTTTATACCCGTCGGCCACCCCACTCTAAGACTAGCTTGGAGGGGGTCGAGTGACGGGTGGGGGCGAAAAGGCGGATTCCCAACGTATTCGTGTGGTGGCCCCGAAAGGGGCCGTTTACACGAGCGCGGGCGACTAGTGACGGCTAATCGGGTCGTCACATCACCCTCCTTTTCTAGGGGGGGGTGGCTATTCGACGGATCGTTCGCGGTCTTCCTCGTCGGTCGAATCTGATGATCCACCGGCCCGTCGGGGTGCGTACCTTATACCGCCGTGAGATGGTGGCGGCGTGGTACGGTATGTCGACGGTTTGGCCATCCCCCAGAGTGACCTGGATGGGTCGTGGCGGTCCCGGGCGTGGTGCTGGCACTGGTGGGGCCTGGCCGGTTGGAGGTCGGCGTGGTGCCGGTTGGGGTGGCTCCCTGGCTGGTGGCGCGACAAGGGATCGCACCTGTTGGCCTGTGTTGGCGCGATGCGCTGGCTGGTCCGCTTCGTCAGGCGTCGCTGACTGGCGCGTGGTGGCTGGCGGTGCGACAGCGGATGGCGTGTGTCGGCGGGTGCCGGTTGAGGGAACCGATCGGTTCGCGGATGGTCGAGCGGGCTGGCGTGCGCTGGCCGGTGTCGTCGTGGGCCTGGTGACGCCGGCGACGGTGGAGGCCGGGGAGTCGGAGAGGACCGGTGGTCGTCGATGCCGGGTGTTCACCGGGATAGGTCGGCGTCTGCCCGGGGGAGGCGGAGGTGCCTCCAAGAGCACCAAGTTCCGACGTCGCTGCTCGGCGTCGGACCGCTGGATGCGGGTCCCTATTCCCGGTACTGGCCGGGTGGTTCGCCCGG